TATTTCTCCTCTAACAGTATGATAGCTTGGGAAGTCATTGAGGTTCTCCTCAGGATCTGTGGCATCCCCTAGTTCTTCTTCCTTTGGATCTTTGGATTTCATGGATTTCATAATAAATGTTCCAAATTTGAGTTATTCTCATTTCACACATCTTTGCCGGATCTCTTTGAAAAGTCTTATCCTTCGAAATTCTTAAAGACAATATCCTCTGATTTTTATCGAGAGTTTTCTTAAGTGACTGATGTAATTAACTATAAGGGTTTGCCTTTATAAGAAACTTTCAAGAACTCAGCTTAATATAAACCCTATTTAATTTTTTGTATTAAAAAGAGGAACTTTTCGGTCAACATAAAAATGATTTCCGCAGACTTAAACGGATATCAGATATTTCTTAGTTTATTTGATTGAGCTTCACTATCAAGTTATGTGCACTATCAAGTTATGTGTGTGTTTATCTTTTGAGATAGAAACATAGCTTGAGGTGTAGTGCTTTTTTATCTAAACTTTAAAAGACATGGAACCAGTTTGATTACATATTTATACATAAATGAAATGCCTTTCCGAACCGGGCGTCAGGATTTCCATTCTGACGACCGATAGCTTCCACAAGACCCCTAAAAAATTAAGCCAACAAACCTAAGTCAATCTTAGATCCAAATTACATTGGATCTAAAGTATCTTATGTCCTACCTACATTGGACTGAAACCATTTCAAATCCTTAGGTTCTAACGACATTGAACCTAAATTCCTTGAGTCCTATTTACATTGGACTTAAATCATTCAAATCCTTAGGTTCTACCGACATTGAACCTAAATTCCTTAATTCCTAAATACATTGAACTTAAACCATTTTAATCTTTAGGTTCTACTTACATTGAACCTGTCCTACCTACATTGCTACCTACATTGGACTTAAACCATATTAAATCTTTAGGTTCTACCTACATTGTACCTAAAATATTTTAAGTCCTACCCACATTGGAATTAAACTATTTTAAACTTTAGGTTCTACCTACATTGAACCTAAATCATCTTCATAACTTAAGTTTCACCAACATTAAACGTAAATCTTAGGTTTAAATTAAACTCCTTCAAGTCTAATCGGCATTTAAACTAAAACAAATGACATCATAAAAATCCAACTCACCGACATAAATGACATAAAATTCATCTTAAAAGACATTAAAACTTAATCTAGAACTTCTGTGTTCAGATTTACAAAGATTTCTGGGACGATGCAATCTATAGTTACTGACAATAATCTTTTGGCCCTGGTTTAAACAACTTTCAGACTAAGTAAATCTAAATATTTTACGACCCTGGGACGATGGAGCCATAGACATTTTGACTGGGTGTTTAAAATTTTCTCAACCAATTAAATGACCAAATAAAGCTGATAAATCTGAAAACATGATTTTATGTTTATCATGTTTTAGTTTGCAGGTTTATTGGAGACATGAAAACAAAAATTTCTCTTTAGATTTCTTTTGCATGTTATAGATTGTGCTAACTCTGTTTTGTAGGATGACATTCATAAGCGGAATTTTTAAGAAAACAAAACCAAAACAAAACTAAACGACATGACATGACATAAAAATGACATGACAAAAACAAAACAAATACAAAATGACATGACATGACATGAAAAACAAAATAAAACCTTTAGGGTGGAATCGGATTCTTAAAAATCTATTACCCTTGGAATAAAATATTTGATATTTCTTTCCTTAACTTTGACATATTTTAGAAGAACGAGTGTTGATAAGAATCAGGAGTTCTCTTAGAGGGTTTTAACTGTCTAAGATGTAATTAACTATAATAGCTTGCTCCTATAGGAAAATTAAGAACTCAGAATAGGTGATACACCTAAAATATCTAGCTATTTAATTCTCATGTGGTTTTCCTTATATGAGAAAGTATTTCTCTTTAATGTTCGCCACAATAAAAAATCCTTTCTACATTTCTCTCATGTTCTCTATCTTTAGCCCTTTTTTTCCTAGTTTCCTAAGATCTTGAAATCCTTGACATTATTCAAGAGAATAAGTTAACTGAAGGTTAGGGCAGTTAAAAATAGATAAACAGAGTGACGACTCCTTTCAACCAAAAGACACAAATCCGACAAAGAGAGAATTGGCGACCGCCGCGAATGACAAGTTCTTGGCGGCAACAAGAGAGCGGCGACTCCGCTTTGAAGGTTTTCTCTCCTCATCTCTCGTTAAATCATTCATTCTTCAAACAAATATATTCTATCTTTTGACAGATAAAATTTTCTTTCCCACATTTAAAGTCTACGACATTAAGAGTTAAAATGATATGACATTCAAAGATATTCCATGTTTTGACAGATAGAATTATCTTTCCCAAATTTTAACTCTACGACATTGAGTTAAAATGATATGACATTCAAAGATATTCTATCTTTTGTCACAGAGAATTATCTTTCTCAAATTTCAACACTTTGACATTAAGAGTTAAAATAACATTACATTTTAAGATATTCTATCATTTAACAGATAGAATTATCTTTCCCAACTCTTCGACTTTAAGGGTTAAACTGACATGACAATCCAATATATTCTATCTTTTGACAGATAAGATTAACAGATAAGATTATCTTAAGATTATCTTAACCAAATTTTAACTCTTTGACATTAAGAGTTAAAATGATAAGACATTCCAAGATATTCTATCATTTGACAAATAGAATTATCTTACCCAAATTTTAACTCTACGAAATTAAGAGTTAAAACCTCATGACATTTTAAGGTATTATATTATTTGATAAATAAAATTATCTTACCCAAATTTTAACTCTGCGACATTAAGAGTTAAAATAACATGATATTCTAAGATATTCTATCTTTTAACAGGTAGGATTATCTTACCCAAATTTTAACTCTGCGACAATAAGAGTTAAAATGATATGACATTCTAAGATATTCAACTTTTGACAACTAAAACTATCTTAAAAAATTTTAACTCTACAACATTATGAGTTAAAATAACATGACATTTTAAGATATTCTATCTTTCGACAGATAGGATTATCTCATCCAAATTTTAACTCTGCGACATAAAGAGTTAAAATAACATGACATTCTAAGATATTCTATCTTTTGATAGACAGGAACATCTTATCAAAATTTAAACTCTGCAAAATTAAGAGTTAAAATAGCATGACATTCTAAGATATTCTATCTTTTGACATATAGGATTATCTTATCCAAATTTTAACTCTGCGACATTAAGAGTTAAAATAACATGACATTCTAAGATATTTTATCTTTTGACAGATAGGATTAACCTACCCAGATATGACATTTTAAGGTATTTTATCATTTGACGGATAGAATTATCTTACCCAAATTTTAACTCTTCGACATTAATGGTAAAATAACATGACTATCTAAGATATTCTATCTTATAACAGGTAGGATAATATTACTCAGATATGACATTTTACCCAAATTTTAATTCTGCGACATTAAGAGTTAAAATGACATGACATTTTGAGATATTCTATCTTTTGACAGATAGAATTATCTTACCCAAATTTTAACTCTGCGACATTAAGAGTTAAAAAAAAACATGAAATTCTAAGGTATTCAATCATTTGAAAGATAGGACTATCTTACTTAATTTCAACTCTTTGGCAATAAAAGTTATCCATGACGTTTGTGACTGACATACCATACAGACATTCTATGACATCTGTGACTGACATTTCATAACATTCACAACGCATTCAATGACATTCACAATGAACATTATATGACAACTACGACAAACATTCCTTGACATTCACAAAGACCTTCTATCATATCTACAACATACATTCTATGACATTCACAGCATGCATCTACGACATACATTCCACGACATCTATGACAGACATTCTATCACATCTACGACAGACACTTCATGACATTCACAACATACATCTATGACAAACATTCTGTTACATTCACAACGACATTCTATCACATCTACAACAGACATTTAATAACATTCACAACATACATCTATGACATACATTCCATGACATCACATCTACACAGACATTTTATGACATTCACGACATACATCTACGACATACATTCCACGACATCTATGACAGACATTCTATCACATCTACAATAGACATTCTATGACAGAAAGACATTCCATAACATCAATGATAGACATTTCATTTTGTAACAAACATTATATGACATTTATGGCAACATTCCATTATGTGATAGACATTCCATACAATGAATATTCCATGACGTCTATGACAGACACTCTATAATATCTAAGACAGACAGACATTCCTGATGTTTGCGACAGACACTCTATAATATGTATGAAAAACAGACATTTCATGATATCTATGACAGGTCGTTCGTCATATTTATGACAAACACTCCATGACATTTATAACAGACATTCCACAATGAGAAGACAAAAATGACATAACATAATAGACTCCCAGTTTACAAAATAAATCTAAAACAATTTGGCATTGATTACCAAAACTGTTGTGATGGATCCCCCTAAATTTATCTTTTCCTTAATAAAAGACAATCCAGAACGGAGTGATCCAAGATAAAATACAATTGTTTCTTACTGCCCACCCTCTGCACTTCTGTTTTTGATGGATGGGGACCTTTTGTCTTTTCCCCACTTAAGAGTTGCAGCTTGTTCTCTTGCTATTACTGCTATGATGAGCCTTGACTAGAATGACAGCATGTAGTGGGACATTATGGTTCTTTTTGTAGTGGTACTGGTACTGTTTACTGTTTTTCTTTATTTTCTTCTAAGAACAATACTTGCATTTTGGGACCAAAAATATACATACATATATATTATATGAATGTATATTCTCCCTTTTAGCTGTAATGAGGGTTTGTTTCTGTGGTTGGGCTATCCCCTTATGAGTAAGTAACATTATATTTTATTTCTAGACTGGGGACCCTTCCCAACTAAGCAATTTTGTAATTTTACTTCTTATCAACATGTAGGGAGCCGAATCATCCTCCTTCTATCAAAAAATATATATGATTTCTATAACGGCTAGATGGAGGCGGCAGGGAGGTGCGGCGAAAGGGGATCTGGGAGCTGCGGCAAGAATGGAAGATCTTCATGAGAGGGCTTCGTTTGTGGGTTTCGTTTGGGTGAGATCCTTCCTCTTTCTTGCTCATCTACTGTTTTCTTTTGCTTGTTTTGGGTTCCCTGTTTATGGATCTGGAGGATTTTATTGCGATTTGGTTTTTCTTTTGGTTTTTGGTTTTTTGATTTCAGATCTGGGGTTTGTTAGGCGTTTTATTTTAATTTCGCTTTCATTTTTCTTGATTTCGAATTATGTCAGTTTTTGGTTTGGAATTTATTTTGGTTCTTATTTTGCGTTTTTGACAGATTTTGGACTGTGAAGATTTCGGGCTGGGGTTTTGATCCTTGTGGTTTTGAACGATTTTGTATCTTTTTTTGGATTTCAAATTTGGTTTGTTGTAGGTGCCTCGATTGGGCACTGCGGCATTGGTGGCTTTGTGACGGATGGATAGGACCTTTGCGGAGGCTCTTGCAAGATCCCAATCCACTAAGGTTAACAATACGATATTTTTTCCTAAAACGTTTCATGATGATTTTTTTATGGGTAGTGATATCGATTTTATTCAAAAAGCAGGAAT